TGGCGTAGGCAGCCTGTGTGGCCACGAAGGGGGGGGGGGTCTAAGCTGGGGTGGGCAATTGTTCTGGTCCGAGACCCAGATCTGGCCACTTTCCCACTCAGCGGTTCTTAGTGGCCCCGGAGTTATTTAACCATTTTGGAGAGCGGGACGAAGAAGAAGAGATTGGGTTTATACCCCATGGCCCTTCACTACCCAAAGGTGTCTCAGAGCGGCTCACAAACTCCTTTCCCTTCCCCTCACCTCCCCACAACAGACACCCTGTGAGGTCGGTGGGGCTGAGAGAGCTCTGACACAAACTGCTCTTTTTCAAGGACAGCTCTGAAAGAACTTGTGACTGACCCAAGGTCACACCAGCAGCTGCATGTGGAGGAGTGGGGAATAAAACCCGGTTCTCCCAGATTAGAGTCCGCGCACTTAACCACGACACCAAACTGTAGTGAGTCCAGGGGCACCTTTAAGACCAACAAAGTTTTATTCAAGGTATAAACTTTTGTGTGCACGCACACTTCATCAGATACAGTGAAGTGGAACTTACCAGTCCATACATATAGACAGAGGGGTGAGCAGTAAATGTATGTATGGACTGGTAATTTCCGTTTCATTGTATCTGAGGAAGTGCGTGTGCACACGGAAGCTTCTACCACGAATAAAACTTTGTTGGCCTTAAAGGTGCCCGATTGGACTCTGGCTTTGTTCTGCTGCTTCTGACCAGCACGGCGGCCCCGCCCGAATGTTGGAGAGTGTCAGTTTGCAATCTGATGCTGCAGTGAGCTGATCTCAACAAATATTTCAGCAGTTTGAGGGCCAGATGAAAAGCTTCTATAAAATGGTTGTGGGGGGCACAGGGCTCTCGAGGAAACATCAGCATGGATTCTCTCAGGGAAGATCTCATCTCACTAACCTTTTAGAGCTCTTTGAGGGGTGAACAAACATGTGGGCAAGCGAGACCCCCAGTAGATGTGGTTTACCTAGACTTCCAGAAAGCTTTTGATGAAGTTCCTCATCAAAGGCTCCTAAGTACACTCAGCAGTTACGGGATAAGAGGACCAGTCCTCTGGTGGGTTAAAAACTGGTTAATCAACAGAAACAGAGAGTGAGTATAAATGGGCAGTTTTCATAGTGGAGGGTGGCAAGCAGTGGGGTACTGCAGGGCTCTGTACTAGGTCCGGGTGCTTTTTAACTTGTTCATTAATGATTTGGAATTGGGAGTAAGCAGTGTAGTGGCGAAGTTTGCAGATGGCACTTAAGTTGTTCAGGGCGGTGAGAACCAGGAAGAAAAAGAAGAGAAGAGATTGGATTTATACCCCGCCCTTCACTACCGAAAGGTGTCTCAGAGCGGCTTACAAACTCCTTTCCCTTCCCCTCCCCACAAAAGACAGACACCCTGTGAGGTGGGTGGGGCTGAGAGAGCTCTTGACAGAGACTGCTCTTTTTCAAGGACAGCTGTGCCAGAACTACGGCTTGCCCAAGGCCATCCAGCCAGATGCAAGTGGAGGAGGAGTGGGGAATCAAACCCGGTTCTCCCAGATTAGAGTCCGCGCACTTAACCACTACACCAAACTCGCTCTCTGGACTGTAAAGCACTCCAGAGGGATCCATCAAGCTGGGTGCGTGGGCGTCAACGTGGCAAATGAGGTTCAGCTTGGGCAAGTGCAAAGCAATGGACATTGGAGCCGAAAGTCCTAATATACATTGATGGGGCCTGAACTGGTGGTAGCTGACCGGGAAAGAGATCTTGGAGTCATGGTAGATAACCCACTGAAGATCTCAGTGTGCAACTGCAATTTTAAAAAAGGCAAAAGCTATGCTGGGGATTATTAGGAAGGGGACTGAAAACAAATAGGGCAGTATCATCATGCCCCTGCATAAATCAATGGGGCGGCCTCATTCGGAGCACTGTGTACAGTTCTGGTCACCACACCTCAAAAAAGATATTATAGCATTGGAAAAGGGGCAACTAAACTGATTAAAGAGATGGAACACCTTCCCTATGAAGAAAGATTAAAGAGGTTAGGGCTCTTTGGCTTGGAGAAACGACAACTGAGGGGTGACATGATAGAGGTTTACAAAACTATGCATGGGATAGAGAAGGCAGAGAAAAGAGGTACTTTTCTCCCTTTCTCACAATACAAGAACTCGTGGGCATTCAGTGAAATTAAGGAGCAGTAGGTTTGGAACAGATAAAAGGAAGCACTTCTTCACCCAAAGAGTAATTAACACGTGATATTCACTGCTGCAGGTGGTGGTGGCTACAAGCATAGACAGCTTTAAGCGGGGATGGGACAAACATATGGAGCAGAGGTCCGTCAGTGGCTATGAGCCACGAGGTATAGATGGAACATTCTGTCTAGGGCAGTGGTGCTCTGTCTTCTTGGTGCTTGGGGGAGCAACATTGGGAGGGCTTCTGGAGTTCTGGCCCCACTGCTGGACCTCCTGATAGCACCTGGGTTTTGGTCACTGTGTGGCACCGGAGTGTTGGACTGGATGGGGCCACTGGCCTGATGCCGCGTGTCCTCTGTTCTGTTCTTCTGTCGGGCTGCGATTTGCCCCCTGGGGTCTCTAAGCAAAAGCCAGATTGAGTGGATTCTCTCCAGTTGAACTGTCTCTGAACAAGGGCGTGCAGGTAATTGAGTGTGTGAAATTCCCAGTTGTACCGTGTGTCTCTCTTCATTCCGCAGGGTCACATGGATGAAGACGTCCAGGCAGCCTTACTTCAGATCCTGCGTATGCGTCAAGGGCTAGTCTGCTAATGGGGGTCGCTGCTTCTGCTAAGACTCCAGAGGCAGCCGTAAAATGTACTAACCTTTCAGGGCTTCTTTCTCTCTTAGGCTTTTCTGGTTACAATTGTTGAAAGCACTGCTTCCCTCCCACTTCTGTCAAGAGTGCGAGGGGGGGGGGGGAAACGCTATTTTTTTTGAACAACGCAAAAAAGGGCTATTGTTAACTGACAAAGCTTTCTGATCTGCCTGTTTGGAAGGCAGTAGTTCATGGCTTTTATTTTCATGGTAGTCAAAATGATGACACAAGCCAAGTTCTGAATGTCTGATTGACCGCAAAAGGCTAAAGTAAGACTCTTCTTCTTCTTTCCGTGCCTCAACAACTCCAGTTTCCCCTTGTTGAGAAATGCAGAGTGTGAACAAGCACAGGAGGACCCCTGAACCAAAGCCACTGTAGCCAGAATTCTGTACTCTTGGTTTTCAGAATGGATTTCTTTTTCAAGACGACACTTGGAGTCGCTTGTGTCCAGTGTGATTGTACCTGCAGCGACGGCAAGCAGGAAGCAAGCGAAGTGGCACGCAGCCTGTCTTGCGGCTTGGCTGGCCAAGTCGCATCTTCCAAAGTCGCTGTTGGGAGCAGTGCCTTTTTAAGTCCTCTCTCTGTGAAAGAGCTCCACAAAACTCTTAACGGCTGTATGGTGTTGGGTTTTTTTTGCAAGAGGTATTTTCCCCCCCCCCCCCACGGCTTCTTCATTACTCTGATTACACGTTTCAGAAATAGCAGGTCTGGAATGATTGCAAATGAAAAGCTGCTCCCGTCTCTCAAAACGCAGCAGCCCGGCATTGTGCGAAAGAATTCTCTGAACGTGGGGGTGGGGTGGGGGGCTTTTACTGAAGTACGAAAGCAACCGTTGGAACAGCCTCAAAAAAACCCTTTTCCAGGACGTATTTGCTGAAACCGATGGCACACAGGCCCGGCAATAGAAGCCCCGGGATTTTGGGAGAGGCTGCCCCCCCCCCCAGCGCAGCCTTGTGGTGAAGTGGGCAGAGAGAGGAGATAGATTGCCAACTGCTCAGATGTGTGTGGCTCAGCAAAAATGAGTGCCAGGGAAGAGGCTGCGTTTTGAGGGGAAATATCTGCTAGTAGCTGAAGAGGCAGGTGAATTGGCCCCCAGCGGATGTTTCCCTCTGAAACAGAGGCCGCTTTTCCTTGCGGGCTTCCTGCTACCTCCTGGTCCCTGCTCTGGTGCCTCCCACACGTAAGGCACGATCCCCGTTGGACCCTCTCCTGTGCTGGTCTCACGGAGTTGCGTTCTTGTGCCACGCTTGTGCGGGACAGAGCGTCTGGCGGAGATGGTGCTCTTAGATATCCCTGTCTGCCAAAAATGGGCCCCGTTGCTCTGAATATCGCTCTGCCGGCCTTTGCGGGAGCCAGACGCAGCTGCCGTCTGATCAGTTGCAGCGCCGAGCAATGTTCTTTTCCGCTTCTGAATACTATATTTTGTAAATTATGTATTATAATACATGAGGCTGGCTTTTATTTATGCAGGGAGATGCCTCTGTAGGAAAGAGAGAGCCGGCTGGCTGTCTTGTCTTGTGTTGTGTGAGGAACACTGCAAGACTGCTTCTTTTCTCCCCCTTTTCCTCTTCTAAGTATGCTTACGGTAATTCCAAAGACTAACACTGAATCCTGGATTTCTGGAAAAGCCAAAATCCTTAAACTGGGAGTATTAAAAGGGGGCTGCTTTTTAAGGAACGCCAGCTTCCTCATTTCAGTGCCCTAAAGAGCGAGTCGAGTGTGTCATGCCGCAAGCCACCCCCCCAAGGCCAAAAACATCTCTTCTGCTCAAAGGCCATTCTGGCCCAGGGTGGGTTGCACGTATTCACCGGTTGGTACTGAAGAGGGTATCCTGGATCTTCCCTGTCGTGCCTGCGCCGCAAGGCGTGAGGCTTGCTGGATATGCCAAAGGGCCTGCGAGCAGGCCGAGAAACCTCACTGTGAAGCCACAAGTGCCGCTCTGCCTTCATTACCGGTTTCTGGACTTGCAAGTGACCGAGGCGGCTCCCAGTATCAACATGAGCCGGCTGGCTGCCATAAGCCAAGACCTGACCTCAGAACCTGCCTGACTCGGGGGGGGGGGAGGGATTCCTCCCTCCTTGCAGCAGCCCTTGCTGCCAATCCTGGGGGAGGGTCATCCCTGTCGCAAGCAGCAGCCCCCCCCCCCAAAAAAAGAGCCTGCCTGGCCATTGGGCTGGGTCGGGGAGAGAAAGAAGGGCGTCGAGAGTCCGGCAGACTTCCAGGGAGCACTTCCAGCTCCGACAGCCGCTCACGGCCTCGTCTTGAAGACAGTCCAGCGTGGAACCGGCGTGCCAAGTGTCCCTTCCTCCTCCTCCTCCGACCAGCACTTTGACCTCTGGTGGTTTTGATATCTTCGTACTAACACCACGGCCACTGTAACTTTTCTTACGCGGGAAGACGTTTTGAGTATTTTTATTCCCTCTTCCCTGCATTACATATCAATAAAAGTTTTTATCTTCTGTGCTACGGCTGAGCATGCCCCACCTTATGCTGGAGAGGGGAGGGGTGTGTGAAGGAACGGGGGGGGGGAGGCTCTTTGGGGTGGCTTTAAGGCTTCTCTCGGAGGAAGCCTCTTGGGGCGTCCTGTAGGGGAGCCTTACAGCAGTGAGGACCCAGCCTGGCTGTGAGGGGTGGGCGGTGAGAGCAGAACCCCCCCCCCCCAATACCTTGGTCCTCCTGACTTTGGCCAGCAGTAGTTCTGGGGGGCCAGGCTGCCGGAGCAGGCCCTTTCCCACTTCTGGAAAGTCCTCTTGATTGCCGTTTTCGGAGCCAAGAGTGAACTTGTATTTGCTGAGAAATTAAGCAATAGCGGGTGGGGGGGGTCTGTTGCCTGTCCCCCCCTTCAGTAAGACTACGGGAGCTGTTTCAGAAGGTCAGTCCAAGGATTTTCAGAGCCTGCCGTTTCCAGGTAAATTTGGGGGCACTTGCTCCAGAAGGAGCAGTTGCGAAAGGATGAATGGGGCTCTGGAAGAACGGTGGCTTGTCCGTGGCCCCGAGCCGAATGGCCCAGGGGAGCTCAAAGTCATCAGATCTGGGAAGCTAAGCAGGGCTGGCCCCGGTTAATCCTTAGGCGGGAGACCATCAGAAAAGCCCAGGGTTGCCACACAGGGGCAGTCAATGGAAAAAACCACCTCTCTTTGTCTCTTGCTTGGGTCAGAGTTCCGTGTCAAGACTCGGATATCAAGGGTCAGGCGGTTCTGAGATCCTCGGTCTTGGACCCGTTCTCAGGAGGGGGAAGGGAGAAAAGGAAACATGGGGGGGGGGAGTGAGGTGTGCATGCACCCCAAAGCTCATACCTTGAATAAACCTTTGCTGGTCTTCAAGGGGCCACTGGACTCAAAATCTGTTCCCTTGGAACACTGATAGTGCTAAATCCCTGGGCAGACCCCAAGTCCACAACTCCAGTGTTTATTTTTGTTCTATTAGATTTCTATCTCACCCCCCTTCCCCCAGACTGGAGCTCGGGGTGGCTGGCAACGTAATACAATAAAGCAGAATTCCAGTAAAACCCAATGAACTAGGCTGATGTTTCTCCTCTTCGGCTGACTCAGAGGGATGTTTTGTTGGCTGGGTGCTGGCTAGTAAACTGAAGCTTAACCCAGACAAGACTGCAAGAAGGTGTTGGTCAGCTGTGCTAAATGAGGATTAAGAAGTCAAGTTATTTCGGACATCGTGTCCCCCTGACGCTTGGGGCAACACGGTACCCCCTCCCCCTGACACCCTTTTCTAGCCCCTGCCCTGCATTTTCAGAAAGTGGGCCGGGGTTTTTGCTTAGTGGGGTTTCTGTAGATTTCTAGTAGTTTCGGTGGCAGCCGTCAGCACAGCACAAGGAGCTTCCCTGCGTTACTGCAGATAAGCCATGCATATGCAAGGAAATCTTTTTAATCTTTTCATTTAAAAAGGCGTTCTGCCCTGACCTGGATAGCCCAGGCAAGCAGGGTCTCCTCTGACAAGTCCTTGGATGGGAGACCTCCAAGGAATACCGGAGGCGGGGGCAGGCTTGATTCAGCCACCTCTCTGAATATCCTCCAGGCCCCCAGGAGGGGTCAGTCACCAGAGGCTGCCATGGCTTCCAGGTGCAGACACACATGCACATATGAAAAGACCCAAAAATAGGCATCCTGTTAAGCTTTTTGCCTGAAATGCTGAAGAGCGGAATGAGACGTAACCTCACTCCGGGACATTCTGCCGTGCTGGCTCTGCCTTTTGTGGCTGCTCTCACCACCCAAAAATGCCAGGGACTCCCCTACTGAAAGAGCAAAACTGGTTGCCCTGCTACCAGGCCCATTCCAAACCACTGAGCCGTTTGGGACTCGGGCCTCCTGCTCCTCTGTGCCCCTGCCTGGTTCCTTCGGTCGTCTTCTGAAGCCCTTCTCTCTGGTTCTGCTTCCCCCCTTCAGACACGAGGCCTCCGGCTGCTGCAGACGGGGCCTTTTGGGCAGTGGCTCCTCTTCCCTCATCACCCTGGCAACTGCTTGCCCTTCTTCAGGCGCTGTTAAATTGTTCTTATTCACCCAGGGGGGAAAGGGGCTGGGCCTGCTCCCTGCAGGTGGACTGCCCAAACTGGGGACCCCACCCCACCCACCACCCACCCACCCCTGAAAAATCCTGCAGGACAAACAGCACCAGATGACTTGTGACTAAGCGCTGCCAACCAATGAGGTGGGCCTGGAATTACGACCCATCTCCAGATGAGAGATCAGCTCCTCTGGAGAAGTTAAGTGTTTCTTCCCTGGAAGTGGGAGAAGAAGAGTTGGTTTTTACACCCCGCTTTTCACTACCTGAAGGCGTCTCCGAGGGGCTTACAGTCTCCTTTCCCTTCCCCTCCCCAAAACAGACACCCTGGGGAGGTAGGTGGGGTAGGTGAGAAAGCTCCCACTGAGAACTGCTCTTGAGAGAACAGATCTGAGAGAACTTGTGACTGACCCAAGGTCACCCAGGTGGCTACAAGTGGAGGAGGAGCGGGGAATCAAACCCGGTTCTCCCAGATTAGAGTCCACTCAGTGGCAGAGAAGAAGAAGAAAAAGAAGAGATTGGATGTATACCCCGCCTTTCCCTCAGAGTCTCAGAGCGTCTTACAACCTCCTTTCCCTCCCCCTCCCCACAACAGGCACCCCGTGAGGTAGGTGGGGCTGAGAGAGCTCTTTCGAGGACTGCCCTTGAGAGAACAGCTCTGAGAAAACTTGTGACTGACCCAAGGTCACCCAGCAGCTGCATGTGGAGGAGGAGTGGAGAATCAAACCCAGCCGCCATGATTAGAGCCCACCCTCCTAAACCACTACACCGAACTGGCTCTGGAAGAGGAGGGAGGTGGGCTGGGCGTGAGGGGCGCCGCTCGGTGAATGGGGCCCGAAAGAGCAGTGGGCCAGACTGGGAGACTGTGCAGGTGGAGTGGCTTTCCCTCTTGCTCACGGGCTTCACTAGTCACCGGGTTCTTCTCTGGCCTCTCAGCGAAGCGCGCATAGGTGCTGAACTGGGTTGCGTGGTGTCCTGGGGGGGGGGGGGGGGGCGGCGGCCTGTGAATCGGGTTGCCAACCCTGGGTTCAGAAATAGCTGGAGATTTTGGGGACGGGGGCCTGGGCGAGGGAGGGAAGGGAGCCCAGCGGGATATCATGTCCTGCAGTCCACCTTCCAGAGCAGCCCTTTTCTTCAGGGAAGTGGAACAAAAGTTACAAAGTTAAGTAAACAAGTCTGGAGCTGGGTTGTCATTCCAGGAGATCTCCAGCCCCCACCTGGAGGCTGGCAACCCCGAGCCGTGCGCCTTCCTTGCTGCAGCTCCCTTGCGCTCACAGAGCCTTTGATGTTGGTTGAATGGCCTCTCTTCATTAGCCGCGTTATTACCTTTTAATAGCTTTGGAAATTTTGTTCAATTTACTCGCTGTAATCTCCCCCTTCCCCGGCGTTCGAGCTATGGCTTTGATCCCCGTCGCCCTCATCCTCTCCATGATAACTCTGGCCTTAATTTGTGCTCGGATGGGAACGGAGGTATTTGGGCATTTGCAGAGGCACAGCTCCCTCGGCCTCTCTCTCCCCTTCCTGACGCTGAAACCAAAAAACCCCCACAAAAACCCTTTCCTAAAATATTTTCAGGACATCATTTCAGTTCTCTTTGCTTTCTTGTTGAGTGGTGATGTGCGGCACCAAAGAATGCGGTTGCACGGGCGGTTTTCAAGAGAGCTCATCCAGGAAAAGAAACAGAACTTATCTTTGCAACCCGAACCTGGCTTTGCTTGCACAGTTTAAATGTTGTGTTCAGGGGTCATTTCCTGCAGGAGCGCACAGGAGCAGAGCTCCGGCAGTAAAGAGCCCAGGGGGCGGGCACATGCAACAAGCCCCGCCCCCTGCTCCCAGCAGACCTCAGTCAGAGCAAGAAGCAGCCAGGTAAGCTGCAGAGCCCCCCCCCCAGGCCCCCCCCCCCCGCCCAAAACAGTCCAGTGGCACCTTTAAGACCAGGTTTTATTCAGGTTTCAAGCTCTCCCTCTGCGAGGACAGATCTGAGCGGTGGGCGTTGCCTTCTGACACACTTCCAGTGATGTCGGGGTGTGGCATATGCAAATAAGTTGTGCTAGGGTTATGCTAATGAGCTCCTGCACCTCTTTTTCTACTAAATGACCCCTGGTTGTGTTGAAGGATTTCCTCGGCTATCTCTGAAATCCGCAAACACGACAACATTCATAAATAATAACCTACGGACACGAATAAGTTAATAGTTCATATCGATGACCTCAGGGTATTTTTTACCACCACCCCCCATACACACTTCTGCATCTTAAACTGGAGTGCTGAAAGTTGCAAAATCGCTCAGATTGTAAAAAGCAAGAGTTTTCCACCTGCAAAATTGCATCCTATTAAATATTCTCTGCTGGGCACTTCACTGAACCTGGTGGATGCACTCTGCACCTGAAGAGGTGAGCTGTGCCTGTGACCCGTGGAAGCTGATGCTGAAATAAAGGTGGTTCGTTTTCAGTGTGCTACGAGGCTCCTTTGTCGTTGCCCTGAGCCAAACGAGTTTGTTGCTGCAGGTACAATCCCAGGGAGGGACTGGGAAAGGGCTCTGCCCCCGCCTGCCTTGGCCTTACCACCCACACCCCCCACGAGAGTGAGGAAGAGCCCAGCCAACCCCGTGCCACATCCAGCTTGGACAGGTGGCTCCTTCCCTGTGCCGCACAGGGCTGACCCATCCTTTCCATGCTGTGTGGGGTGAGGCCGGGCGTGTCCCTTAGGGCCCCATGGAGGCTGAGAACCGTCGGCTCATAACAGGGGGGGTGGACTGCATTTGCCCCATGCAAGGCAAGGCCCACCCCTCCCTCGGAGCTGGGGTTGCCCTGGTGGGGGGACCACAGTGGCTCAGAGGTTAAGATGGTGAGCTGCAGACCGGAAGGACTGTAGTTCAGCAGTTCGAGACCCAAGTGCCACGTGATGGAGTGAGCCCCCGTCTCTGGCCCCAGCGCCTGCCAA